AGGCTTCCAGTATGCCCTGGTCTCTAAATAAGAGGCAGTAATTTTCATACTGAGGCCCACCGTTCACTTCTAAGATACCTGATTAAAGGGCACAGGCCACAGCCCTCGGCCCCCAAACCCCCTACCCCTGCTACAGACTAACCCTCTGCTTCTGGGATGGTTAAGCATCAGGCTTCCCCTCAACCCAGCTCCCCAGAGAACTGCGGCAGGGGCTGCCAGAACGAGACAGGAGGGTGCTTGCTGGTGCGTGGCATCCAAGAACCTTGGCCCCGAGAACCCAGACAGTCCCTTGAACTCTCCCCCTCAAGTGGCTCCTCTGAAAACCAGAGTAGACTGAAAGGCTCCAACGCAATCGGATGGTCGACACTCTACAAACTTCAATTCTCAGGCTCTAAACAGAATGAAGATGCAAATACGGAAGAACAGAAAAAAAGAGAAAAAAAAACTTTCTTCCACCACAAACTCGGAATGCACTATAGCCTGAAGCCCTCTCAGTCCCCTCTCCCAACTTAATGAAGCCTGCTAGAACCCCTGGGAATGGGGCAGGAGAGGTGGGTTTCACACTCACTCTCTAACTAGGTGAACCTGGGCAGGCACTTGACTTCTCTGAGTCTCTTTTCCTCATCCGTGAAAACGAGACACAGCCCACCAGGGCGGGCTGCTGTGGAAAGGCACAGAGCTAAAGCAGGTGGCCCTGACACAGCAGGAGCTCGGCAGGTGCAAGTCCCTTCCGGTCCAACCCTGAGGCCACGTCCAGACGCTTCCTGGCAGGACAGGTAGGGACCGTCACTACCCCAAAGGTGATGGCGCTAAACACAGAGTAGCAGGCGAAAGACTCTACCCATTTGCCTAAGTGACTCAAGTACTTTTCCTCAGACCATTCGGACACTACTGCAGGCGCCATGCACCCCGCCACCCCCATTCTTTGCAACTTTTAGCAACTTCAAGAAAGCGGAAGTGACTACCACTAGTTTTTAGCTACCGTTTGAAAACCAAGAGTCTGGCTACAAACGGAAGAAGGGGAAATTGTAAATGAGAAAGGAAGCCATTAAAAACGAAAACTACCTCTGCCGTTCTCCCTCCACCAGCTCTGCACTATTGCCTCTGCTTTCTTATTTTGCTGTGGTGTTCTAGGGCCTTCAACACCAGCCACCCCTCAAGGGCCTATCAGCCCCTTCCTTCCCCTGCTTGGACGGGCACTAACTGCGGCTCCCACAAAGCCATCCCCACTGCTGCAGGCGTCCGTCCAAACACAGCTCTGCCGCCAGGGGACTGACGGGCCCACGCTTCATCTGTCACCCCTCCTCAACCCGCGCTGACCTGTGAGCACCCAGAAATGGAGGCCAGGGCACAAAGGCCCCGGGGGCCTACAGAGACAGCCGCCTGAGCTGCCCCCACGCTCAGCGGAAGCTCCAACGCCTGGCCCCCTGGCCAGTACCCTAGGAAGGGAAAGAGCCTGCTACCAGCAGCAGGTTGGCCAGCACCCAGCTCCTTAAAGGGCCCAGAGTCCCGAGGACAGCAAGACCATCTCCCTCTCATGTCCCCCAAGCCTCCGTCAGCTCTCAGCCAAATCTGAAAGGGGTTTGGGAACATCCAATTCCAGGGACGCAGTGACAGTAATGGCCACCCCACCACCTCTGAGCAGGACCTACGGGGTGTGCCGGCTGTAGAACCCAGCACCACCCACTCAGCAAGCAGGAATCAGGGATACCAATTTGGTAGAAGGGGACCTGTCCAAGACCCAACAAGATGACGAGCGAGGGCTTTCCTGTGGCTTGGGAAAGCCTTGGGGAGGGTCCGCACTTAAAGAGGACCCTCAGTGGCTCCCCCTCTGGCCCCAGAAGCACACCCTCCCAAGGGAGCTGGCAGCCCTGGTCCAACCCCAGGGGATGGAATAACTGGGAAAGAGAAGAGTCTAGAAACACTGGCCAAGGACTGGGACGGGGACTTGAACGCCCACATTCAGATCGTCTCCTGAACTGGCCATAGGTTTAAAGGTAAAAAAGGAAAAGACCAACAAACAGCTTTTGAAATAGCTCTTTGGAAAAACAGAATGGGGCAGAGTTAGTGTTACAATGTGATCTGAAGTCAGAAAAGCTTGCATTCCCATTTTACCTCCCCAAACTGAAATCTCTGTGGCCCAGACCAAGGATCTCACCAAAGCTCCCAGGCCTCTCTCACCTCATCTCTCGCTATCTCCCGCGTGGGTGCCACACCTGACTGCCCTCGGCCCAGACTGGGCTGCTCCCTCCTCCTTCCCTGAGCTCTTCGAGCCTGACTAGCTCCTCCTGGGTCCTTCAGGCCCCCACACAGACACCACTTCCTCCAGGGAGCCTCCCCACTGCATCTGTGTCAGGGGCCTGCTCCACACTGCTTCTACAGCATCCCACAGTCACCCTAGGACAGCACGTGAGCCTCAGCTCTGTGACAGGATGTACCTGTTCAGTCATCTGCCTCCCCCTGAAACATGCTGACTTCCCAGGATCTAGCGTAAGGCCAGGCCCAACTAAAGCTACTTGTTGAATTAATGAAAACTGAAGCCAGAGAAAGGTGTTCTGTTAAGATCACTGGGCCACACATCCCAGAAAAAAAAAAAATGGGGAGGGGTACCAGACAAGCAGGTTCTCCTCGAATGGAAAGAAACAGTCGATGAACCAACAAAAGCTAACGGCCACAAAGATGGTGGCAACTCACAATACACAACTCACCAACACACAGCTCATGAGTCACAACAGAGCAAATGAGCCACAACGACACACAACACCCCAGCAGTGGAGCAAAGCTCTCCTCCTCTGCGCTGCCCACATTTGGGCTGGACAGTTCTTTTTGGTGCTGGGACTGCCCGTGCATTGGAGGACACTTAGCAACATCCCTGGCCTCCACCTCCACTCACCAGATACTGGCAGCACTCCCCCCAGCTGGAACAACCAAAAACATCTCCAGATATCGCCAACTGTCCCCAGCTGAGAACCACTGCAACAGACACTCCCAAATCAAATAACAATCGAAAGAACGGCCAGATATGGTGTCCCACACCAGTAATCCCAGCTCTCTGGGAGGCTAGGCAGGAGGACTGCCTGAGCTCACGAGTTCAAAATCAGCCTGGGCACCACGGCAGGGCACCATAGCAAGACCCAGTCTTTACAAAAAATACAAACATTAGCCGGGCGTGTACAAAAAAATACAAAAATTGAGCAAGCATTGCAGCACGTGCCTGTAGTCCCAGCTACTCAGGAGGCTGAGGTGGGAAGATCACTTGAGTCCAGGAGTTCAAGGCTGCAGTGAGCAATGATTAGACCACTGCACTCCAGGCTGGGCAAAGGAGCAAAACCCAGTCTCAAAATCATCACCATCATCCAAAGAGCTACTGATTGCAGAGCATAATGTACCTTGCATTCTACCACAGGCTTCTACAAAGCTTGCACTTCATCCCTAGAACTACCCTCTAAAGAGAGCAGTCTGCTATCCTCACTTACAGATGAAGAACAACTTGTCCAAGGTCTCACCACTTGGAAAAGCAGAAGCCAGACTCGGCCTAGGTCTGTCTGACGAAAGGTCCTCTAACAATTAGCTGGACTGCCTTCTCATGATCCCAATCCCAGAACTAGAGTTAGGTGGTCTCATGTAACTTATGCAAAATGATACATGTTGGGCAAAAGTTAAAAAAAGAAAAGAAAAAAAAAAAGCATAACATTTTAAACAGCACAAGCAGCTCCAACAGCCCTTCCACCACTAGTAAGCACACGTGGTCGGGTGCCGTGAGCATTTCCACATGTGTTGTGCATGGATGTAAACCAAGTCCTCATCACGGGTTATTCAGGCAATCTCCAGTCCTTGCTGCATTTGCAGGGCACGGTGATGGTGAGATCCTCGCCCTTGGGCTGGATGAAATCCCGCTGCAGTTTCTCTACAACTGTGAACCCAGTACCGCACCTGACAGTCTACGCAGCTTCCTTTACTGAAACATCTTGCTTTTCAGGCGGGTGTTTATGGTCATGTCTGTGTGTACAAAGAGCGTGCAAGACCCCAACCAGAGGTCCCATTCAAGGCCTGGACAATCACCCCGGGCCGAGCTACTCTGCCCCTCACCCTCCCAACACATCTTCACTGAGGACTCCGACCTTCCTTCCTTGACATATCTGCACGTGCTGCTCCTTCCCCCCCGGAAGGCCCTTCTTCCCACTCTCCATATGTCACCTCCTACTCATCCTTCCTAGACAGGAAAAGCCATCCAGCCAGCCAGTCTCACCAGTGCCTTGTACTCTGTGGCCCCCTGCAGCTCCCTAAGTTACCTCCATCACAACACACAGGAATTGTGACTGTCCGGTTCTGCCTTTGCCCCCCCCTCCAGGGACCGGCCCCACCTCCAGGGCAGGGCCTAGGACTGATGACCCCTCCTCGGAGCCCAGTGCTAGGCGCCCTGCCTGCCCTCAGCAGGATTCATCTCACTGAAGCAGGCCCGAGTGGTGGCTGCTCCAGAGAAGCCCCGCTCCCAGGACCCTCGCACAAGAAACCGGAGGCGGGAGAGGGTCGGTCAAGGTGAAGACAAGCCCCGCTCCCCTAGTCCTGAGCTCCGGGGTGACATGCAACGGATCTAAGGAGGCTGCGCCGCGGAAGAGGCGGCGGGGCAGAGATTGGGGCGAGATAGATGGGTGTAAGCGGGCAAAGTCCAGGGTACCCAGGGGGAAAGATTCCTGGGGAGCCGGGGGACCGGCCAGAGAGGCAAGAGAGCGGAGCTGAGGCTCAGGGACTGGGGAGCGCAGCTGCAAAGAGAGCGGGTGGGAAAAGCCCGAGCGCAAGAAACTGAGTCGTGGGTGGCGGGGGAGCTGAGGAGAGATTAAGAGACTGGAGAGGGTCGAGGGAGAAGAAACGGGAGCCCGTGGAGAGGGAACCCGAAGGAAGGAGGATCCCAAGCAGAAAAGACCGGCGGGGGTCCGGAGAGGGGAAGACGTGGGGGCCTGGTCCTGGAGAGGCAGGGTCGGGCGACACGGGCCGCTCACCTGCGAGGGGGGGCGGCGGCTCCTCGCACTCGGGGCTCATCGGGGCGCCCCCCCCGCCCCGCCGCCGGCGGCTCCGGCCCCTGCTGCGGGGCCCGGTAAGTAGGGGCGGGGGCGGCGCCGGGAACTTGCGCAGGCGCCGGGGCTCGCGGGGTCCGCGCAGGCGCCCGCGGGTCGTGGGGTCCTCGCGCGCCGGGTCCTGCAGAGTTGAGGGGGTCAGAGCCGGGCGGGGTTGCCGGCGGGCTGGGGGTGTCACGAGTCCGCGTAGGCGCCTCCGGGGTCCGCAGGCGAGGTGGGCGCGCCGACCAAGGCGGGTTGCGGGCGAGCCCGGTCGCGAGGCCCGCGCAGGCGCCTCAGCCGGGAAGACGGGGGAAGTTGCCTCGGTTTCCACAGTCCAACCCAGCGCCCCGCGGGAGGGGAAGACGTCCTCCTCCGCGGTCCAAACGGGCCGCAGAGCCGAACAGCGACCGACGGAAGCCGAGGCCTACTTCCTTAACCGCCCCTTCCCCAAAGCCGCTCAGTCTCCGGGCTCTGCGGCCCGCCTCAGGGCCTCCGACGCCCGGCTCCCTCCGCCACTATCCCACAATCCCCCTAGCGCAGGACGACGCAGGACGCCCCGCCCTCCCGCGGCGGTCTCGGTGCGCAGGTGCGGGAGGGGCCGCACGCCTGGGCGGTGCAGTGCGCGTGCGCCCGCGTGCTTCCGACCCCGCCCACTCCTGAACCCTGCCGCCGTAGACGCGCTTGCGCCCGTTGGTGCCAACGGTCTGGCCCGGAATAAACCCAGACAGCGCAATGAGCCAGAGCTGCGCACCGGCTCCGTTCCAAGGCCCCGTGAATATTCCGCTCCAGGGTTTCCCTTCCCACTCGCTCCGTTTGGGAATCCGTTCGCTCTTCTGTCTCTTCTAATCATAGTCCGGCTTTGGCTCCAGGGTCGGGCTCTTGTGAGATCCAGACCTGGTTTTCACTCCAGCCAAGGCCAGGCGCCTTAGTCCCGCCCGGCTCTCGTGCTAAGCGGCCTGCGAGCCTCAGGAACCCTCGGTCCTTTCCATTTGCTGGCGATAGTCCCGGCCGGGTCGCTAGTGTTGCCAGTTCCGCCCAAAGCCGCCTCTAATAGCATCAACTGAAAGAAACCTCCTAGACCTTGTGTCTAGATTGATGAAGGCCCCATCTGGCTTTGAGCCTCAGTTTCCCCAACTTTAATAGCCCCCTCTCCCTGCCCATGTTAGAGGCCCACTGTAAAAATCATGTGGGCGCGAGGAACTTTTTTTTGTGTTTTAAAGACTGCAAATTGGCCAGGCGCGGTGGCTCACGCCTGTAATCACAACACTTTGGAAGGCCCAAGGCAGAAGGATGGCATGAGCCCAGGAATTCGAGACCACCCTGGGCAGCCTAGGGAGGCCCCCGTCTCTACAAAAGAAAATTTACAAAATTAGTTGGGCATGGTGGCTCGCGCCTGTGGCCTCAGCTATTCGGGAGGCTAAGGCAGGGGAATCGCTCGAGCCCAGGCTGCAGTGAGCCGGATTGCACTAGTGCACTCCGGCCTAGGAGACAGAGCGAGAACCTGTCTCAAAAACAAAGGGTCTGGCGCGGTAGCTCAGGCGTGTACCTGAGCTCAGGAGTTCCAGACTCCACGCCTGTAATCCCAGCACTTTGGGAGGCCGAGGAGGGCGGATTGCGTGAGCTCAGGAGTTGGAGACCAGCCTGAGCAACACGGTGAAACCCTGTTTCTACTAAAATACGCAAAAAAAGCGCTTGTAATCCCAGCTACTCGGGAGGCTGAGGCAGGAGAATTGCTTGAATCCAGGAGGCAGATGTCGCAGTAAAAAAAAAAAAAAGGCCGGGCGCGGTGGCTCATGCCTGTAATCTCAGCACTTTGGGAGGCCGAGGCAGGCGGATCACAAGGTCAGGAGATCGAGACCATCCTAGCTAACACAGTGAAACCCCGTCTCCACTAAAAAATACAAGACAATTAGCCGGGCGTGGTGGCGGGCGCCTGTAGTCCCAGCTACTCGGGAGGCTGAGGCAGGAGAATGGCGTGAACCTGGGAGGCAGAGCTTGCAGTGAGTCGAGATCACGCCATCACGCCACAGCACTCCAGCCTGGGCAACAGAGCAAGAGTCTGCCTCAAAAAAAAAAAACAAAAAAACTAATCCATTTGTCCTTCACATCTGTTAGCTTTTTATTTTTATTTATTTATTTTTTGAGACGGAGGCTGGAGTGCAGTGGCATGATCTTGGCTCACTGCAACCTCTGCCTCTGGTGTTCAAGTAATTCTCATGCCTCAGCCTCCTGAGTAGCTGGGATTACAGGTGTGCACCACCACTCTTGGCTTTTTTTTTTTTTTTTTTTTGAGAGAGGGTCTCACTCTGTTACCCAGGCTGGAGTGCAATGGTGTGGTCTCAGCTCACTGCAACCTCTGTGTCCTGGGTCCAAGTGATTCTCCCACCTCAGTCTCCTGAGTAGCTGGGACTACAGGTGCTCGCCACCACACTCGGCTAATTTTTGTATTTTTAGTAGAGACGGGGTTTCACTATGTTGGCTGGGATGGTCTCGAACTCCTAACCTTGTGATCCGCCTGCCTCCGCCTTCCAAAGTGCTGGGATTACAGGTGTGAGCCACTGCGCCTGGCCTAATTATTGTATTTTCAGTAGAGATGGGGTTTATCCATGTTGGCCGGGATGGGCTCGAACTCCTGACCTCACGTGACCCGCCTGCCTCGGCCTCTCAAAGTGTTGGGATTACAGGTATGAACCGCCGTGCCCAGCCCTAATTGCTTCAACCTTTGTCACTTTCACCAGCATTCACTAATGAACACTTGTCAGCAGTTTGGTTTTTCAGCCATATCTCTTCCGGTCTCTGCTATTTCTAGAGTTTTTGTTGAACACAGTGTTGTTCGGTCCCTGTGTTACCTATTGTTGTATGACAGTCTCAGTAGCGTGTGTCATGTGCACAGTTTGGAGCTGCAGGTACGAAGGTTGGTAAGACTGGTTCTGCTCCCCATCTTTCATGCACCATCTCATAATAAAAGGCAGGTACACATCAATGAAGCCCAACTGTGTTAGCATATTTCAAGTCTCCAGTGGCCTCCCATCCACCACTGTCCGTTGATCAAACAAAGTCACATAATCCGGCCAGGCTCGGTGGCTCCCACACCTGCAATTGCAGCACTTTGGGAGGTCGAGGTGGGTGGATCATGAGGTCAGGAGTTTAAGACCAGCCTGGCCAACATGGTGAAACCCCGTCTCCACTAAAAATACAAAAATTAGCCTGGCGCGGAGGCAGGCGCCTGTTGTCCCAGCTACTCGGGAGGCTGAGGCAGGAGAACTGCTTGAACCTGGGAGGCAGAGGTTGCAGCAAGCCGAGATCGTGCCACTGCACTCCAGCCTGAGTGACAGAGCAAGACTCCGTCTCAAGAAGAAAATAAAAAAAAAAGAGAGAGCAAATTCACCCCTTCTTTGCGGCCTTTGTTCTATTGAGATCCTCAATGGATTGGATAATGCCAGCTCACATTGGTGAGGGAAGATCTTTATTCAGTCCGCTGATTCAAATGCTAGTCTCTTCCAGAAATACCCTCATAGACACCCCCATCATGTTTTACCAGCTATCTGGACATTCCTTAGCCCAGTCAACACCTGAAATGAACCATCACAGAGAGGCATTTCCTTTTCCTTTTTTTCTATAGGGATGTTTTGTCTTTTACTCAGCATTTGCCTTCCTTGTTTTTCTCCACAATGTGATGGCATCGTTGCCACACTGTTTTCACACAGAGGTCAGGAACTGAGGGATAGGGGTGTGGCTATTGTCCCTACCCTTCAAATGGAAGCTGGGAAGTTGTGGGGGCTTTAAGGACTGAGGTCTGGATTTCCACCCAGCAGAACTCACAGAAAAACAATTGTGTTTGCATTAGAATTGGAACTTTTTTTTCTTTTCTTTTTTTTTGAGACGGAGTCTTGCTCTGTCTCCCAGGCTAGAGTGCAGTGGCCGGATCTCAGCTCACTGCAAGCTCCGCCTCCCGGGTTCACACCATTCTCCTGCCTCAGCCTCCTGAGTAGCTGGGACTACAGGCGCCCGCCACCACCCCCGGCTAGTTTTTTTGTATTTTTTAGTAGAGACGGGGTTTCACCATGTTAGCCAGGATGGTCTCGATCTCCTGACCTCGTGACCCGCCCGTCTCGGCCTCCCAAAGTGCCGGGATTACAGGCTTGAGCCACCGCGCCCGGCCAGGAACTTTTTTTTTAAGAGACAGGGTCTGGCTCTGTCGCCCAGGCTGGAGTGCATGGCACGATCACAGATCACTGCAGCCTCGAACTCCTGGGCTCAAGCAATCCTCTCGCCTCAGCCTCCTGAGTAGCTGGGACTACAACTGAAACTTTTTTCTTGAGACAGGATCTCAGATCCTGCATTTACCTCTCAATTTATCCTGGATTTAGGAAGAGGGGTGATAAAAACCAATCCAAATAGACTCAAAAATCCCAGATGCACAAGAACAATCTACACAAAAGTAATGAGTCTGACATCAAATTGTCCTAGGAAACCAGTACACAAGAAACAGGAGGATTGGCCGGGCGCGGTGGCTCACGCCTGTAATCCCAGCATTTCGGGAGGCCAAGGAGGGTGGATCACGCAGTCAAGAGTTCAAGACCAGCCTGGCTAAGATGGTGAAACCTGGTCTTTACTAAAAATACAAAAATTAGCCGGGCACAGTGGCAGGCACCTGTAATCCCAGCTACTCGGGAGGCTGAGGCAGGAGAATTGCTTGAACTCGGAGGGCAGAGATTGCAGTGAGCCAAGATCGAGCCACTGCACTCCAGCCTGGGTGACAGAGTGAGACTCCGTCTCAAAAAAAAAAAAAGAAAAAAAAAGAAAAAAAGAAAGAAAATAAAAGAAAAAGAAAAAGGAGGATGGCTCTGGAATTGGCCCAGGTGTGAATCCTGGCTGTGAACTTGGTCAGGGCTCAGCCTCCTCTGAGCTCAGCCTCCTCTCTTGAAAAACGACAGCAGTCAAAGCTCTTGTCTGCAAATGACAAAATTTCTTGTAGCTAAACAGAAAAGCAATTTATTAAAGGAGTTGAGGCAGCCCTCGACACCCCCACCTCCCACCCCAATCCCACATCTGAGAAAGCTACAGAATCCGCTTGGCGCT